CGGGGGCCCCGGGGGCGGGGGACGCCCGGGGACTCGGGGGCGGGCGGGGGGCGGCCGGGGACCAGGGGGCGAGGGGCGGCGGGGGGCGGCGGCGGGGGACCCGGGGGCGGGGGGCGGCCGGGGGCGGGGGGCGGTCGGGGACCCCGGGGCCGGGCCGGGGCGGTCCCGGCTCAGGCCGCCCGCGCTGTGCCCCCGTCCGCAGCGAGCAGTTGATGCAGTTGTATAGTGCGCGGCAGAGGCGCCGGCTGAACCGCGGGCTGCGCAGGAAGCAGCACTCGCTGCTCAAGCGCCTGCGGAAGGCCAAGAAGGAGGCGCCGCCGATGGAGAAGCCCGAGGTGGTGAAGACGCACCTGCGGGACATGATCATCCTGCCGGAGATGGTGGGCAGCATGGTGGGGGTCTACAACGGCAAGACCTTCAACCAGGTGGAAATCAAGGTTGGCGCGGGGCTGGCCTGGGGCGGGGGGCACGCCTGTCCACTGACGGTCGCCTGACGCCCTGCCCTGCCCGCCCCCCGCAGCCCGAGATGATCGGCCACTACCTGGGCGAGTTCTCCATCACCTACAAGCCTGTGAAGCACGGCAGGCCGGGCATCGGGGCCACTCACTCGTCCCGCTTCATCCCTCTCAAGTAGCCCGTCTGCCCAATAAAGGCACGGACTTGTCTGGTCCGGAGTCTGCGTTCCTTTCTTCCTGGTGTCCGCCCCCCGGGGCCTCGGGTCCTACGAGACTTGTGCCGGTCGTGGCCCTGGTTCCCTGCTGTGGGCACGCGTTGCTGGCATCCTGAGACACGCCCTCCCGTGCTGTCCTGTGCTCCAGCCTCAGACCCTGGGTGGGGCTGCCGTGCCCTCCTCGGGCTCCTCCCCCCACGTTCTCCGTCACGGGGGTGGTTTCCACAGCTGAAGCGAATGATTGGCAGGAGCCTTTGCACACGTTGAGCCCCTCCCTTCCAGCTGCACACACCTACCCCGTCCCTCACGGCGCTGTCTGTGTCAGTCTCAAATCCCCTGGGTCTCCCGTGGTGTCCGATGGGGACGCTCACCCAGCACCCCCTTAGGGTCTGATGAAAGGTCTCAGCCCTGCTCCCTAAAGTGTTTCTGCTCCAGTATGTTGTCTTCACGTCGGGGGCAGATGCCTCTGTGGACCGGGTGTAACTGTCCAGGCAGCAGTTCCTGTGACTCACTGATGGACGTGTGTGGGGGAGAGGCGAGGTGGTATCCTGGTTGTGGTCTGAGTCAGCGGACGTGGGGACAGCAGGGAGACGTGAAGAGGGGCCTACTGTGCATCCAGCAGTGGTAAGGTGGCTGCACCGCTGGAGGTGAGGCATGGCCAGGGGCCAGAGACAATGGAATGAAAAGGAGCCTCCTGCCTCTCCCCCCTCCCCCCAGTGATGACTGCTGTCCCCTCTGCCTGCTTTTTTCCTGGACTCTTATCTCCAGGTTGCAGCATAATTGGCTCATACTGTTTTGTTTTTTTTTTTTTTTTTAAGATTTTATTTATTTGACAGCACAAGCAGAGGGAGAGAGAGGGAGAGACAGGTTCCCTGCTGAGCAAGGAAGGAGCCCGATATGGGACTCGATCCCAGTATCCTGGGATCATGACCCGGGCCGAAGGCAGCCGCTCAACTGACTTAGCCACCCAGGCGTCCCCATACTGTTACCTTTTGAGTTGGAGTGAGTTAGAAAGCTGGGGCCGTTGTGTTTGTAATTTGTAGCAGAAGGCAGTAAAAGCAGGACAGGTTGTGTGACAGCATGGCACAGGTTTCTCCAGCTAGGCAAAAGGAACTGCAGTGGAAACCAGACGGCCTGGAAGTTTATCTGTAGCCTGTCCGCCACTTTCCCTGGGACCCCGCGTTCTTACAAAGCCCCAAGAGAGAACAGCCCTGCAAGAAACTGGGGCCGAGTATCTGAACTGGCAAAATCAAAATACTTGGTCTCAACTTCCGTTTCTAAAGCCCCCACAGGTGCCGTGCAGATGTTGTTGGTTCCAGGCCTGGCGGGAAGGGTGGGCAGGGAAGGCTGAGTGGGCTGGCAGGAGGGGTCTGGAGCTTCCAGGAGGGATCCCTCTGAATGGCAACGGCGAGGGGTTGGGGATCCTCTGTCCCCGAACTCTGGTCTGACTGCGGAGACGTGGACCGGGAACTCCCAGTCGTGCTGTGGATTTGGTGTGTGTGAGATGGGGCACAGGCAGGCCAGTGCTTCGTGGTCTCAAGGCCTTTGTCGGACCTGCTGCCTGCAAAGACTGGTGGGCCCCGTCCACGCAGCCATCACTCGGCTGCAGAGGCCTTCGACCTCAGACTCACCCGGCCCAGGGGAAGGTGCGGGCTCACTGTGTGTCTTGTCTTTGGAGTTTTTATTAGTTTCAGGGGTAGAATTTCGTGATTCATCCGTTGTATACAACACCCAGTGCTCATTCCATCATGTGCCCATCACCCAGTTACCCCCCCCACACCCTCCTACCCTCCCCCCAGCAACCCTGTTCCTAGAGTTAAGTGTCTTACGGTTTGCTTCCCTGTTTTCATCTTTATTTTTGGAATTTCTTAAATTAGGGTTTTTTTTTTTTTTTTAATTTTGTCAGAGCACAGGCAGGGGAGTGGCAGGGAGAGGGAGCAGCAGGCTCCCCGCCCAGCGGGGCTCCATCCCAGGACCCTGGGATCATGACCTGAGCTGAAGGCAGACGCTTCACCGACTGAGCCACCCAAGTGCCCCTTTTTGGAATTTTTATAATTAAATGAAATTGAATAGAAGAAACATTTTTTACATAAGATTGGCAAGGGGGAGAAGAATGCCCAGGGCGAATGTGTACCTTCACTGGAAAATGGTTTTTATCCTGAGCATTGAAAAGCCATACAAGTGGACAGTTACTAGGCCACCGGGTCCATGTGCGGGATAAAAGGCACGTGCAGACAGGTGTCTTGAGGGACATGGGAATAATGGCAGTGAATGCCAGCTGGGTGTTGGTGCCCGCTCAGCTCGAGGGAGTGGGCAGCCCTGGGACTGAAGGGCCCGCCATCCGTGCTTTCACACCACTGGCCTGCGCCAAACGGTTTCTTGTATAAAAACAAGCAGGACCCTCCCTGTGACAGCAGCGTTGGTGTCTCCACTTTAGGGCCTTTAACCCTCACTGGAAGCTTCCAGCGTGGCCACCAGAGGCCACCTTAGTGGGCGCAGGGTGGCAGTGGTCAGTGGTTATACCATTAATTTTATGCACTTTGAATTTATATTAACCAATTAGTTATGATTGGGGGACAATGCCTGTTGGTGTTCCAAGCGGAAGGAACGGTGTCCTACTGAGACACACACCCCAGCCATCATGTGGCACTCTAGGCCAGGAAGCCCTTCCCCGAGGTCCGGCTGTGGGGCAGGGTCCTGCGTACTCGGGGCTTACTCGATTCGGGGCAGGGTCCTGCGCACTCGGGGCTTACTCGATTCGGCCCCTCTGTTGGCATGAGGCCCAGGCTCTGCCTTCAGGCCTCCCAGCTCCATTCCTGCCTCTGTGCCCTCTCATTCTGAGCCTCTGGTCCAGCTGCACGGGGCTGCAGCCCCTGCACCCAGAGTTGACTCTCCCAACCCGCCCGCCATCCCCACTACCTCAGTCAGAGGCCGCTCCCAGCCCGGGGCTCTGCCTGGACACCCTGCCTAGCTGGCCGGCTGCCTTGGGAGCCTGTCCTGCATCTGGCCCTTTCTCTACTTTCTCACCTGTTCGCCAATTTGAAGTAAGTAGGTATTCATCCCCTCACCTCCGTGGGCTCCAGAACAACGCCCGGAGTCGAGTGGCCCGCCAGACCCTGCTGGCCTGCGTTCCGCCGCCCCCCTCCCCCCGGCTGCTCCTCACTTCCCCGCCTTTGCATAGGCTGTGCCCTCTGCCCGAGTACCCTACCACTGATCCACGGCACCTGCTTGCAGAGGCCAAGGGAGCGCCCTTCTCTTGCTGCTTGTTCTTTGCTTTTCCGGGACTTAACACAGTTCCTAATAACGCTCCTCCGGGACTCCACTCCCCCTCCGACCCTCATCCCTCCTGGACCGACCCAGCGCCCTCCGCCCTGTTCTCCCCGCTGCCGCCAGGGGGCGCTGGTGAGCACCGAGTCGGGCCGGTCCGTGCTCCGCGCGCAGCCCTGTAGGGCTCCCAGGTCCCTCGAGTAAGGGCCCAAGGCCTCCCACGTCCACGGGACCCTGCACGACCCCTCCCCCACACACCTCGTCCCCGCCTGCCTCCTCTGTTCGCGCTGGCTGGTCCTCGTACCGGGACGCCCTTCGTCGGGTCTATCAATTGCCCTTCCCCGCAGCCTTCCACGCCCCCACCTCCCTGCTGTTTTCCGCGCTCACCGCTAGCCAACTTACTGTCATTCCCTCTCCTCCCAGTGTCCGTTTCCCTCGAGCAGGGTTTTGACCGTTGCACACAGCAGGTGCTCGATAGATACTGGTTAAATGACTTCAGTGGATGTCTGTCTAGGTGTAGTGTGGGCCAACAAGCCCCCTCCGTACCCAGCGCCCAGCTCAGAGTCCGGCAAACAGGAGGCGTGCGGCAAATGTTCGCTGAATGACTAGCGGACTGAGGCGCGCAGCCCGAGCCTGGCTGCTGCGGGCCCACTGTCCCAGCGGTCAGCCGACTGCGGCCGCAGGGCGGCGCCTCCCTCCATCCTTCAGAAGCTCCATTCTCCTTGGGACCCCTCGCGCTAAGGGTTCCCAGTCCCCCGGTGAGCCCCTCCCCGCTCTTCCTCCGCCCCCACCCCTCTCCAGTCTCCCACCTTCCCCTTCCCAGTCCCCCGTCCCCCCAGCCCCCCCCCCCCCCCCCCTCCGGCGAAGTCCCGCAGACCCGCTCGTTGGTCGCCCCCCCTGCCCAGGAGTCCCCGCCCCGGCCCCGCGGAGCGGGCCCTCCCCGCAGTCCCTCCGCGCAGGCGCAGGGAGTCTCGGCCGTGCCTCCCCCCCCTCTTACCCGAGCGGCCGAGGGCGGGGCGCGGGCTGGTCCGGGGTGGCCGCGGCTCCATGGGGCTCTTGGGGCTGCTGAGCCTGCTGCACTCGGCCTTCTTCGGGGACCAGGTAGGGCGTGGGGGGGCGCTCCGATACTCGCACGATGCTTGACGGGTCTGGGGTCTCGCGCAGTTGCCGCGGAGACCGTTGCCAGGGAAACTGCCTCAGACTGCTCGCCTGGCTGGGAGCCCCTCCCCCGCGTCGCAGCGAATCCCCCACCCCGGGTCTGCGCAAGCGCGGCCTCGCCGGGCCCAGCTCCAGGTCTCCGAGGGAGACCCCCCCCGACCCCTCCCCATTGCGCGTACACAGAGAGGGGCTGGGGCGGGGGGACCGCGACGGGGGACCGTCCTGCCGAGGGTCCGTCCCGTACAAGGCGGGTAGGGGCCGGGCCACGCCCTGCACCTTTTACTGCCTCAGTTTCCCCTCTGGGCTCCCAGGGTAGGGCCGACTCCGACATTCACCGACGCTGAGGTTCATAGTACGCCTCCCACCGGGCCCGAGCTCTTTGCCGGCCTCTATAATCGTTCTGAACCCTGCGGCTCTAACATCCCCAATTTAAGAGGAAACTGAGGCTGGGGGCGCAGCGAGGAGGCCAAGGTCACGTCCTCAGCAGGGCTGGGGCCTGAGCGCCGGGCGGAGGCGTCAGCCGAGGACCGGGCCTGGAGGCCGATGGGGGAGCTGTCCGCGGTGCTGACAG